TCGTGTGTGCGTCACTGGAGACGGCGTGTCACCTGGAGCGACACCCCCACTGTGGTCTGACATGACGGGGATGGGGGGGAATCTCTGCTGGGGGGTCTCTGAATTCACCGACTCGCTGTCATCCACCGGCAACTGAGGATGCGTGGGTGCTGTGTGGAAGGAACTCACCCGCATCCCTATATCAGTACCCTGCATTCCTAAATATACATGATTAGGGGCTGATCTAAGGTCTGAAAGACATGCATTGGGGCTGATCTGGGGTCTGCAGATAATGCATCGGGGCTGATCTGGGGTCTGCAGGTAATGCATCGGGGCTGATCTGGGGTCTGCAGGTAATGCATTGGGGCTGATCTGGGGTCTGCAGGTAATGCATCGGGGCTGATCTGAGGTGTGAAGTGCATGCATTGGGGCTGATCTGAGGTGTGAAGTGCATGCATTGGTGCTGATCTGAGGTGTGAAGTGCATGCATTGGTGCTGATCTGAGGTCCGAAGTACATGCATTAGGCTGATTTGAGGTCTGAAGTGCATGCATTGGGTCTGGTATCAGGTGCATGCATTGAGGCTGGTCTGAGATGTGAAGTGCATGCATTGGGGCTGGTCTGAGGTCTGAAGTGCATGCATTGGGACTGATCTGGGGTCTGCAGGTAATGCATCGGGGCTGATCTGGGGGGTCTGCAGGTAATGCATTGGTGCTGATCTGAGGTGTGAAGTGCATGCATTGGTGCTGATCTGAGGTCCGAAGTACATGCATTGGGCTGATTTGAGGTATGAAGTGCATGCATTGGGGCTGGTATCAGGTGCATGCATTGAGGCTGGTCTGAGTTCTGAAGTACATGCGTTGGGGCTGACTTGAAGTCTGCAGCGCATGCATTGGGGCTGATCGGGTGTGTGTGTGTGTGCGAGAAGTGCATGCATTGGTGCTGATCTAAGGTCTGCAGTGCAGGCATTGGTGCTGATTTGAGGTACGAAGTGCATGCATTGTGGCTGAGCATGTTTTGTGTGTTCACCAGTCAGTTTCGCACTCTTAGTTGCACTGGTCGTGGCAAGTTGTCAAGGTTTGATGATATAATCAATAAGTACAATAATTGATCACAAGCTAAGCCTTGAATGCGCTATTGTTGACCGGCACGCCGGTTGTACTCGTGAACACGACGCATTCCAGTCTTTGTAGAAAAAGTCGCTGACCCCGATCTGTCACTTCCTCATTGTATCCAAAACAAACAAAACGTTTTGTGTTGATACATTTTGATATTTTGCACTTTTTCACCGGGACTGTCCCTCCGCGCCGCTCCTCCGATTTATAAAGCGGCATTCGGCCCGTCGCCGCGATTGTCCGCGAGCGGAAAATCGTAATTCGGCGCAGTCCTCATACGCGGGGTTGCCACCCTAAGCCGGGCGCAGGCTGACGCGTCCAGCGATGGAGGAACTTCCTGCGTTCGTTTCTGTGACATTGCGACATCGATTCTTTCCATGAGAAGCTCATAGAAGCCGGAGGAAAGTCGCTGAAGCAGCGGAATGGGAGGAAAGGAATTGCGACAGCAATTATTTTTTCTGCTGATTTTTATAACTAGAAACCCTTAATGATGTTCACTGCCGGGCTTGTTAAAGGAAACCTCCATGTCTGGTGAAAGAATCTGATATCAGAGGGATCATTGTGCAATTTAAAGAGAGACTTTCTCCTAAAGGGGGGAGTGACAATACCTTGTGATAGCTCCTCCCCATTCCCTCAGGAATATACACTATATTACCAAACGTATCGGGCCCCTCCCCCTCCAAATCATTGGATTCAGGTATTCCGTGACATTTCCCGCCTACTAAATATTCCGCCGCGGTCGCCTGTTACTGGGATTATAACAAAGTGGAAGCAACTGGGAACAACAGCAACTCAGCCAGGAAGTGGTCGGCCACGTCACATGACAGAGTATCTATCTATCTATCTATCTATCTATCTATCGTCTATCTATCTACCCATCTATCTATCTATCTCCTATCTATCTATCTATCTATCTATCTATCTATCTATCGTCTATCTATCTATCTATCTATCTATCTATCTATCTATCTATCTATCTATCTATCTATCTATCTGTCTATCTCTCTCTATCTATCTATCTATCTCTCTCTATCTATCTATCTATCTCTCTATCTATCTGTCTATCTCTCTCTATCACACACGTTGCCACTCCTGGTCATTGTGTCATTTGGAATTAGTCTTTGATCTGAGGCTTTTGCTGACGTTGCCCCCGAGGTCGCTGACAGTAGTGTAGATCGGAGTTCTCTCGCAGAGAGTCGGACACAATGGAGGTCGGATCGGTTATTTGTCATAAAATGAACAGGAAGAGAAGTTGAGTCATTGGAAGACTCGGTGTTTCCTCTGAGGATCTGACGACGACTTTCATTCGGCACTTTTTGAACTCGTCTCCTTTTTGTTGTGAAGTGGAATCTCAGCGTCATGAAGTCTTCTCTGCTGCGGCGGAATTGCCGGACTCTCCTTATTCCCTCAGTTATAGAACTCTCTATGCATTCAGGGCTGGAGCTGCAGATCACAGAGCTCCCGTGGTGACCCCTTCCTATGTCTGCGGCAATGGTGGGCGAATCATGTACGCACTGTATTGCCCCCCTAATACTGGTGCCCCCCTGACATTGGCGGCCATATTGCATTATGAATTTGGTCAATATTTCACCATTGCGGCAAAACGCATTGGGGACAATGGCAAAGGTGAATAGATGTAACTGAATGACGTTTACATTGATATTGTGTATCCTATTTATAAAACACTTTTCTCCTTTATTTCTTTATCCTTTGCTCCATCCGAGTGCCGCAGATCTCCGGCAGCCTCTTTGTAGCCACTTCCTGTCTACATACACTCCCAGTGGTGGCTGCATGGCCGTTGTCAGGGAGGGTTTCCTGATGGTGACAACAGTGGACCATGTCTGTGTAATGTGTGTTGAATCGGACACTTGTAGTCTCCATCATAAGACCATGTGACAGGGTGACAATGTAGGGGGAGAATTGGGGGACAAATGTCAGAGCGTTGCCACCCTTTAACAGGAAGTGCCTCAACAAGGACAGAGCATTGTCACACATCAGGGATTTTTTTTTTAATGAAAACTGAAGATGTAAAATGATTGAGAACTTTACAATGTATATAATATTTGTGTGATCAGATGTATCTAAACTTGTTTCCCGGAGCGGGGAGGAGTTTGAACCTCGGTCCATTTTATTTTGTGGTTCCCATAACTCTCTCTATGCTGACCACCTAGACTGAAAGTAAGGGAATATTCAAACATTTGAGTTGTCACTAGCATAGGAATAAAGGGGAAACCTTCCAACGGGGACACCTGTTCCAGTGATAACTCTCTGTGAAGGGATATCTTTCACATTGAAGAGATTTCCTTGTACTTCCTGTTGTGTCTATTGAACAGGAAATGAAGGGAAACCAATAAGATGCAGAGAGAAAACAAAATTAGTTTCTATTCTGCCCGATGTTGAGGGTCTTTACCACAAGAGCTTACAATCTAAAGCATAAGCCCGGCTCCGGACTAAGCACTGAGTGTTCTCCTCGGCTTTCTTCCCGCAGCCTGGCCGGGGTGTCTCGGAGTACAACTGTCGCGGTCGCCTATCTGATGACGGTGACGACCTTCGGCTGGGAAGATTGTCTGGACGCGGTGAAGGCGGTCCGATCGTACGCAGACCCCAACCTCGGCTTCCAGCAGCAGCTGCAGGAGTATGAGGTGACGCTGGTGAAAGAGGTGAGCGCCGCCGGTATCTGAACTGGTCACATGACACGAACCCCGACTGCAACAATGTAACCCCTCAACTTCCATATAATATCATAAGAACACTGAGGACTCATTCACTGTCCCATTTAGATGCAGCCGCTGTCACCCATTCAAGGTAATGACCGGCTGACAGTGGCCCCATCTGTGAGCCAGTCACATCAGTCTCTGTACAGAGGAGCTTACACTCTAATGTCTCCCCCCCACAGTCACATCAGTCTCTGCACCAAAGGAGCTTACACTCTAATGTCCCCTCCCCCCCACAGTCACATCAGTCTCTGTACAGAGGAGCTTACATTCTAATGTCCCCTCCCCCAGTCACATCAGTCTCTGTGCAGAGGAGCTTACACTCTAATGTCCCCTCCCCC